AAGTTTTGTACTCCCTCTCCGACTGTGTCACCGCTGTGCCCGTTTGAAGAGAGGCCTCACCACCCCCCAAAACCCCCCCGAGGGGGGGTGGGGGGGCTGGGGAATTCTGGGAGTTGAAGTCCACTCATCTTAAAGGGGCCAAGTGTGGACAACACTGAGGTAGGGGAACCAAACAATTTGAAGCAAGATTCCCGGGAGGAACTGGGTAGCTACTTCACTATTCCATGACTATGCTCAAGCTTTCTAGGTTCATGCACCTTTTCCCTTTTGTCCAGGAACTCTGATCAGGTGCTAGTATCGGGAATATGCTTGTGCATGCACAAGTGTGTGTATGTGCACGTTTCAATGTGTGGAAATCAGAGTTCAGCTTTGATCATCTGATTGGCTAGTGTAAAGGACAAGAAATGTTTAAAGCAGCTGCTGAATGTGATACAATACATTTTATATACTTTGTCGCACCCTTCCTAAAATTTCCGCAGGGAAGCCTAGATGGGGTTATTCCTTATTTTTTCTTTCTCAGAACATTTTTATGAAACAGGAAACTGGCTTACAGATTATTTCCATTTTAATGATTGAGCAGGACCCCTGTAATAACTTAGTACAGAAATGTCATATCCCACTTTGGAATTATTTTTAATAAGGAAAAACAAAAGTAAATTTAATGTACAAGCAAACAAACGTTTTCGTTCAAAATGGGCATTTCAATGAATTCTTTATCCTACACTGCTTTTGTTAAAAGCTTATTTACAAACATTGGGTGCATAGACTGAACACATCTGAATTACTGTGTAAGTGTGAAATTAAATAGAAATTATATTTTCCTACTGAAAAGCAAGTAGTAAAGAACAAACAAATCTTGCATCAAGTTTATTGGCATTGTCCTTTTGTTTCTGAAAAAAATGAAGCACAACCAGACTGCCATTTCATATAGAAATTAAAACTCACCAGGAATGCATAAGTAAAATACAGCTGATTTAATAGGAATATAAAAGTTAAAGGTCAAGGAATTGGTATGTCATTACACCTACCACCTGAGATTGTTTGAAAATGATGTGAAGTATCTATTCAATTAAATAAGGACATTTTGAAATTATAAATAATGTATAAAGAGATAAAAAGTTGCTAGAAGAATAGCAGATAAAATATATTAAACATGTTTTTGCCATGTGAAAAAGAATAATCACTTCAAAGTAGTATGCTGAGCTACAAGCTGAAGAAATCATTATACTATTTTTAAACATAAAAAAATAAGAATCCTGTTGGATTAGACCAAAGTCCATTTTAGTCCAGCATTCTGTGACTGAGTTCATATAGCATATTTGTTGAATAAACCATAACTGATTGGGTGTGCACAATATCTAAGGTATACACTGCTTTATCAGTTCTTATAGCTAGATTCATACAACATGTCAAACCCCAACCAAACAAAACACATTATGTCACAACACAACGTATGAATCTAGCTGACTTACAGAGTAGTTATCCAGATGCAGATGGGAAGTTCACAAGCAAGATGTGAGAGCAAGAGTCTTCTTCCCTTGTTCCCTAATAATTGGTATTCAGGCCATGTTGCTTTGAAGTCTATAGACAGCATATGGTCATTCAGACTAGTAGCCACTGATAATTTTATCTTCCATGAATTTATCGTAGCACATCAAAGAAGCATCTTGTGGAAGTCTAGAATTCAGTTTTTAATTTGGTAATGCTACATGTGGAGATTTGTGTCATAAAAATGGATCCAATCTGTTCAAGCTATACATCCAACTATATGGAATCTAAGTAAAGAATCTGATTTTCAGCACATCCAAGAGCTCAAAGATAAGGAATGACCATGTGTTTTATTTGAATGAGGGTAGTGCGCTATTTGAATGGCTGCCCAGTATATGTCCAATTTAAAGATGAAGAACCAAGTTGAAGATTAATATGTGAAGCAGGAGCTTTGACTTCACATGGAACAATTAGCAGCAGACCCAGGAGGTACAACAACTACAACTGCACACTGTTACCTGTTTAGTTTTCCCCACTATTTGCATGCACCCACTTGTACACTTCCACACAAAAGGATATGTAAATGTTATGCAAACCTGTATCTTACTGTTCTTCTTTTTTCATGATGCATTTCCTACTTGGATGGCTATATTGTATTACTCAATGTTCTCTGCTTAAGCTTCCTTCACATGAAAGTAGTTGAAATCATTTTTGACTTGGCCACCTTTTTGACCACATGTTTCAGAACTGTAGTTCTTTTGTCATTTGTATGCTTCATTGTGCAATCTGTTCAATTTACATTCTTTTTCTATACTGAATTTTTCAGGGTGGTAATGATCAAAGGAGCCAAAAAGAAAGGGGGGGGGGTTGTTTCCCTGGTCACAGTCTGATATGGGACATCCATCCATTCAGTTCAGAGTTGTTATGTTATATGCATAGCAATCAAACATTCCCAGCTTATTGTTCTCTGCAAGGTATAACATATCCAGATTGTTGCTTAATTTTTTCCTACCCACCCCCAAACAGGAAAAGCTCCAAAATGCTGGATCGTGCCTATTCCAGCAGTGCTCTAGGTGCTGCAAAAGGGATGACAAGAGTCACTAGAATGGATTTTTTGGCTTCCTCACCTCAACCAAAACTGAACCCAGATCAGCCTTCACACATACACTTATGTCTTATTTTGTAAAAAGTTCCTATTGACCCCAACAAGCACTTCTGTTCCAAGCCTCACTGCCAACCCTGAATTGAGTATTACTGAGGGCTGCAATCATATACACTCATTTAGAGTATGTACAAAGGAAACTGTTTTCCAGCACTGGCTAGTAGGAGCAGTTCATGGAGATACCAGGATTTGCACGCAGGAATCTTCTGCAAATTAAAATGATGCTCTGTCGCTGAGCTGTAGTCTTTCCTAAGTAGAATAAAGCCTACTGGGCACAGCTGGGTTTATTTCCAAGTAAATATACATACAATTGCACTGCATAACATATTTATATTAAATAGGCAGTTGCGTGACATTCACAATTAGGAAAGCCAAACAAAATAATTAAAATTTGATGCAGATTGGAAAGGGTAAAAAAATAAAACCTAAACCCTGCAGAACTTCACTTCAAAAACATTCTGACAATATATCATCTGAGTATATCCTTTAAATACACATTTAAATTAGTAGCTCTACCAATTGATACAAAGAAGAATTTGATGAAGGGCCCATTCAATTAAATGTGTTGACATCAACATCTTAGTAAAGTCTCCTTCAACCCTTGGGAGATTTTATAGAGCCATCCATGCCATTTCCTTGGCAGTGAAACCCACTTCAAGCAGTTGAATCACCTCAAAAAAAGTAGTTCACTTTAGCAGCTGTATTAGTTGTCATTTACTTTCATTATTATCTCTAGGGAATATGTTTACCCTGCTTTAAAATTTATATGGCTCATTTTGCAAGCTGATTTAAAAAAAAAAAAAAGGAAATAGTGATTCAGGAGACAAAGCGGAAATCAATTCCAATTCAATATTGATAGCTTCCATGTGATGTAAAATGTGTGTCCTTTCTAATTAAATGTAAACATGCTCAGTTCTAAAGTCCAGTAGGGATGACAAGAGCCACTAGAATGGATTGCTTAAGCATTGATCAACTGATTTTTCAGAGTCTTTTGTTCATTCCCTAGGATTCTTGAGCAATCTGTAGTAGGGTTAGTGTCAGTTCCAAGTGACTTTAATTTAGGTCGTCTTCAGTGAGAGAGAGAGAGAAGAGAAAAAAAGAGCCAGAGTCCTGACAACAATGTTGAGTGCTCAGTGATACCTAAAGTTACTCATTAACTATGTCCTTCTGATAGCTAATCAATACCAATGCATGGAGCCAAGCACACTGCTCTAAACTGCCTCTCTCCTGAAAGCCAAGTCTTGGTAAATGTTTAATGGCAGTAAAGGTGTTTTGGTTGTTATC